CTGTCTCATAGCCCTTGCAAATGTACTTACCACTTGTCTGATTATATATTCCTGCTTTTTCATGGAAATTATGGACTCCAGCACCTGACATTTCCATTGATCTGTCAACATCTTTGAGATGGGATCTCCTCACATCTTTGTAGCCCCTCCAGTGGCCCCCACCCTATTGTGTTGTTCAGTATATGTTCATGGAAGGAAGGTGCTGAGCTAAGGGAAAGTAGTTGGGGTGCTTGGGTAGTTCTCCCTACCTGAGGAATCATTAATCTGGTGTTTTGGGCTGTCAGACTGCAGGGTTGGGAGAGGACTCTGGTTCTTTTGGGATTTCATCAGCTCTTTGCTGTCATTTTTTTGTTTTTCTGGAGAAAGGGGGCGAGCAGAGAGAAGCTGGAAGACAGGGTGCATAGGAGAGATGGGGTCAGTGTTTCAGTGCAGGTGTGAGGCCAGGAGCCAGGACCTTGCTCACCCAGGAAAGCAGTGCTGATACAGCTCCAAGAACACGTGCCACTTAATGCCTTTCTGACCAACCTGCTCTCTGGAGGTGGAAATATGGAGTGGATAACCGTGACCTTTTGAGATTTCACAGTCACTTCATTTATGGGGGGCATTTGCCCTGGAAGGAACGCAGAGGCATGGGGAGAGCCCAGCTCAGAGGCTGCCACCTGCATTTCCACTCCTGGCTGCAACCCCTCCCTGTCTAACCTTGGGCTCACTCTTTGACCTTGGACTACCTTCTCTGGGTCTTTCCTGTAAAATGGGGCCTAGTAATAGCCTCTCATAAAGCTGTTGTGAGGATTCAATGAGCTAATACAGGTAGAACTCTTAGACCAGCACCTGCTACACAGTAGCCTCTCACTAGATATTACCTACTATCATTCTATTTAGTAGGCGCCTTCTCTTAGAGTCAGGGTTTGTATAAAAAGTTTGGTCTTCCTGCAAGCTTTGGGTTCTACTTCTTCCTCACTTTAGTAATTCTCGTTGTTCTAGTTACCTCAGTCTCTCACTTTATTACCATGTTGTCCATCTTGAGAGATTTATATTCTAGTGAAACTGACTCTAGATAGAAGTTATTGGTGTGTGATTTCTGTCTTTACCTAGCATTCTTAGTCACTTCGCCCAGACCCTGACTTGCTAGATATTTTTTCTCCTTCTACATTAAAAAAAAAAAAATTCCCCATCCTTGGAGATTACAAACAGAAGTGATGTTGGATTAGACAAGGAAATAGAGTGGTGCATGATGGGTATGCAGATGGAACAAGTTACAGGGGCAGTGTTAACACCGTGCAGGGCAGTCCCCACCCGTGCTGCCATCCTAACCAGTGTGTGTGATTCAGGCCAGAGATCTCTACTGCCCTTGGTGTCAAATTCTTCCTGTTCTTCTCTTCATAGCTGCATGGCCTGGGGTGAGTGAACTTGGTTCTTGGTTCACTGAACCTCAGTTTCCTCCTCTGCAGAAGGAGAGGGCGGTTGTAGTCCTGTGAGTATGATACGTGGCTGTGCTGTGGTCTTGAAGGTGTGCCCTGGCTCACTGAACGAGGAGCAGAAGTCGGCTGTATGAGGACATTGTATCTTCTGCCACATCATGGAATTTATGTGCCTGATTTTTGTGGGTGGCTCTCCCTCCATGCTCCTGGAAACTGTTGAGCTTCCTAGTATGTGATGGGGGAAATGAGAGGTGCGAATGAGGTCTGGAGGGAAGACAGCAGATAGGAGGGCAGCTGTGGGCAGGGAGGGAGCCATCAGGGTGAACACAGATGGGGCATGGGCCAGGGGTGCTCCTTAATTATTTATTTTTCAAAAGGTGGCTCCCATCCTGAATTATTTTACATAATGGGACAGTTAGAAAAGAATAATCTGGGAGGGTTAGGTTCTCGGCCACGATGATCCTTGGGTTATCTGGAAAAGCTGCTGTAGCCCGCGGAGAAATGGCACATTACCAGAAATAGTGAGGCAGGTAAGGGCTGGGCTGGAAAGCGATTATACCCACCAGGTGGGAAAGACCAGAACAGTTTCTATCTCTAGAGACTAGTGCCTGAGTTGAAGAGGTTAAAGCCGGGGGAGTGCATCTGAGTTCAATCCAGAAGGGTGGAGACATTCAGTGCCACAAATGAGGCACAACCGCCGTGGGTGTTCAAAGTGGTCCGGTGACTCTTCTTGGGACCAGACAAGCAGAGTCTCTGACCCCAACAGCTGTGTCTTCCCACCATGAAGACACTGAGGGAAGGCTGCTCTCAGCTACACCCCAAGCCTCAGGAAATTCGCAGCTCCTTCCTTGTTCCTCTTGTTTGATCCAGGGAAACTGGGGTTTCTTGATGGAAAGAACAGGTTGCTCCTGGCCAGGAAGGGCCTGCAGCTGTATTTCATTGCTCCAGAGAGAATCCACCCTCCTTGAGAGGGAGGACGGCTTTTGGCTTTCAGGGCCTTCCAGCCGCAGAGGTGGCCTGGCAGGCAGCTGAGTTCCCGTGACCCCTGAGACCCGGGGCTGACCTCTCATTTTGATGGAGCTGCTTCTCATGGGCCGGGTCGGGCACAGGACACTAGCTCTCCCTATGGGTGACCGGCACTCTGCTGGGAGTTAGTTTATCAACTATGTAACATGGGTCAGTAGACAAGATGATCCCTAGGGTCTTTTCTATTCTAAAAGCCGACCATTCTGTATGCTCCTTTCATAACCTAAAGGGCCAGGAGGGGCTGAGAGTCCTGGGCTGTGGGAAGGAGCAGAGGCTGAGGGCACTAGTTTTAGTGGGAAGTAGCTGAGAATGGGCCCTTCCACAGAGGAAGAAACTGAGGCACTGAGGAGAGACGCCGCTTGCCCACAGTTACGTATCTGCTTGGTGATGGGGCCAGCATGGGTGCCTAGGCAGCGGCTTCTTATTCCTGCACACTCTCTTGCTCAAGGCAGTAGTGCCCAGACACGGTGCAGCTTGCTTGGCCGTAGGCTCACCCTATAGGCTGTGACCACCAGGCTGGAATTTCCAGAGGCTGCCACCTTTGTGGGGGGTTTTATATTCTAATGTCCAGGACTACAGGGGCTCTGTTTCTCACCACCTCCTTCACTGTGTCCCTGCACGGGCCTTAGTCCCCTCCTTCCTCATCTTGGCCACTTTCCCTCCCGTCCTTCCTCCCAAGTTTGGACATTCGTTGTCTTCTAGGTTTCAGAGCTCTGGGGAAGAAGGGCTTTCTGGGAGAATGAGCTGTTGGAGAGGGAAGGGTACTTGAAAGGAAAGGGACTTTGAGGTTCACCCTGTGGGGTGTGAGTACAGGATGGTGAGTCAAGACTGGGTGTGCATGCCACTCAGCCTGACATGGGGGCACCTGGGTAATGTTTGATTGCTCTCATGCTTCTCTGGACACAATAACTGTTAACTCACTGGGAGGTGTGACTGTCGGCTGACTGTGGGAAGCCACGTGTGACTGCTCAGGTGGTAAACCTCAAGTGCTTTGGGTTAAATTTTGCTGATTTTCTGGACTATGACCAGTTTTCCATCTATGTGCCTCACCCCACCCCACTAGCTCTGCTGCCCACCTTCCCCCATATCAGCATGCACATGAACACACATGTTTGCACACATACAGGCCTGAAGGGAAACAAATTTGAGAAAGTGAGGGCATCTCTGAGTATGTTTATATGAACATCTGGGCTCCCTGGGAGAGCGTGAACACACATGTGTGTGCATACACACACAATGCTCATGTGCGTGTGCACACACACACACAGCTCCTTCTCCTGAGTGGAGTTGGCAGGCAATCAGCTGTGACACGGAAATAACAGTGAGGACCCCAGGATATGGACCCCAAGTGCATGTTTTTCTGCTCTGTGACTTGAGTCTTTGAGCTTCGATTTGCTCATCTGTGGAAGGTGAATGTAGTAGTCCTTATTTGGCCGGTTGTGGGGAGGATTAAATAGGGTCAGCATGGAAAGTGCATGTCTGGTTCAGCATGGACTACGTCATTGTCACGATCAGCTAGGCATCTCAATTTCCATCTTTGGCAAATATGTATATTAATGTATCTGTCCCCTGAGACTCTTGTGGAAACCAAATGAGGTGATACTGGTAACCGTAGTTTGTCAACTATAAAATGCTCTGGCATTAAAGGTGAGGATGACAAGAATGCCAGCTCCACTGAGTCAGCACTGTCTTCTCAAGGGGGGCAGAATGTGTACAAGTGTCCTATCCTGTTTCTAACTGCAGGGCTTTTAGGAGTCCGGATGCATCACTGGCCTGTGGTGCCCAATATGTCCTTTGCCCTTTCACCCTCCCATAAGTGCTCTCTGTCAGGATTGCTGCTGGAAGCCCTAACTTCTGCTGCCAGTTAAGTTTCAGTACAAAATGGGGGACTTTCTTTTTTAGCTCATGGTCCATGTAATTCACCTTTTCTTCCTAACAGCCATGATGCCCAAGCTCCCTGGAGCTTCTGTAGCCAAATGAGCTAAGTCTGGATAGGTGCTCAGAGCCTCCTTAGCTATTACCCCCTCACAACCCAAGGAAGTCAGATCTCAGCCAGGAGCAGGTGGCTGGCCAGTGTCCTTTTGACAGAGGACCTGAAATAAATTTGTGTTTGTTCAGAGGCAGTGTCATAGCAATGACTGAGGCTGCTCAGAGCTGACTCTGGGTAGGGGATGGCTACCATTCACTCCTCTTGCCTCAGTTACTATGACCTGAACCTCAACCAGCTATGGGAGTTGCCATTTCCTGGTCTGGAAGGCCCTCTCTATATAAAGCAGTTTAATTTTGTACCTCCTAATTTACTCCCACAGGACCTCCCTGTATAAGTGGATAACATCTTCTCAGGGAGCCACAGAGCTTTCTTCCTGAGGGTTCCTCCCTAGCATGGCTTGTTCCATGAATAGCCCCGTAACTGCTGGAGAAAAAGGTGCTGGGCTTGGTGAGGCATGGGGAGATGAGCTGGAACGTCCCACAGGGTGCCCTTTGTGCCTGTGGGGACTCTTCTGTCACTGTCTCTCACTTCTGACTGGTTTTGCTTCTCCTCTGCCCTGGCAGGACCTGTGTGGGGCCACTACCTGTGACACACTGGGTATGGCCGATGTGGGCACCATGTGTGACCCCAAGAGAAGTTGTTCTGTGATCGAGGATGATGGGCTTCCGTCAGCCTTCACCACTGCCCATGAACTGGGTAAGCCTGAGTTGGGGTGCGCTTGGATGGAGTGAAGAGAGATCCCCTTGGATTATTCTTAGCTTGCACTGCATGCCCTGGGTGGGGAGGGGGTAGATATTTGTCTTGCTCTCTCATGTCCTGAAGCCTTAAAGATCCCTTATTTTTCATTTTTTTAAAAAAGATTTATTTATTTATGCATAGAACTGGCCAGGGTACAGTTCTGGGGTGTAGGCCAGAGGTGTGGGCGGTGGGGGGTGGGGTGAGAGGACCCACTAGAAACAGAGTGGGGAGCAGAACAGGCAGATCTACTGAAATACACAGGTGAGGGGAGCAGCGCGCGAGACAGGAGAGGTCTGCTGTGCCATGTGGGTCAGCTCCCTGGCTGGGGTTCGAACTCAGGTAGTAGGGGTGGTAGCACTGAGACTTAACCCCTGTGCCACCAGGGATGGCACAAGATCCCTTCTTAGTGTCAGAGTCTGCCTTAGCATGGTTTTTATTTTCCCATGGGCTCCAGCCCAGTTAGCCAGTCTGGTATGTCTGACAATGTCTGGGTATGTCAGTCACTGGAGTATCTCTGCAGTCAGGCACTAAGGGGAGAATATGTTCAGTACACGATGTCTTTACACACAGATGGATGGAACAGAGAAGCTAAGAACATGACCTTGAGACATTTGCAAAAGATCTAGTGATAGGCAGACACAACCAGCCTGAAAACTGTGGGTGTGGCTCCCTAGCTTCCCCAGCTAATCCCTCCTCCCAACCGGGCCCCCCTTGAAAATGGGTAGGCCACATCCTTCTGCCTCTGAGTCCCCCTGGCTCACCCCACAGGCCATGTGTTCAACATGCCCCATGACAATGTGAAAGTGTGTGAGGAGGTGTTTGGAAAACTCCGAGCCAACCACATGATGTCCCCCACGCTCATCCAGATTGACCGTGCCAACCCCTGGTCAGCCTGCAGTGCTGCCATCGTCACTGACTTCCTGGACAGTGGGCACGGTAAGCAGGGTGGCAGAGTAGGCGCTGTCGCGGGAGGCGATGCTTGCCACCTCTCTGGACCTATCCTCTGTTAACTAAGGTGTGCATGGCCCCAAATAATTGAGCTCTGAATTGGGTGGGTTCCATTGCCTCTTAGTTCATACTCTCCCTGCCATTTAGAGACTGAGCTGGTGAAGTCCCACCTTCCGCTTTTTATCAATGCTGCCTGGCCTCTCTGCAGGTGACTGTCTCCTGGACCAACCCAGCAAGCCCATCACCCTGCCTGAGGACCTTCCAGGCACCAGCTACACCCTGAGTCAGCAGTGCGAGCTGGCCTTTGGTGTGGGCTCGAAGCCCTGTCCCTACATGCAGTACTGCACCAAACTGTGGTGCACCGGCAAGGCGAAGGGGCAGATGGTGTGCCAGACCCGCCACTTCCCCTGGGCAGATGGCACCAGCTGTGGTGAGGGCAAGTTCTGCCTCAAGGGGACCTGTGTGGAGAAGTATAACCTCAATAAGTACCAGGTAAGTGTGTGGGAGCTGCGTGGCAGGGATGGCTGGGAGGTGGGAGAACAGGGGCGGGGGTCCCCACTGGGATCTGCTCCATCAGATGCGCACCGTCTAGGGGAGACACTGGAGCTGTAATGTTACAAGACACAGACAGGTGTACATTGTGTGTTAAGACAGGAGTGTGAAAAGATGCCACTGGCGAATAGGAGATGAGAGATAAACAGTGGCTAGGAGTCGGAAAAACTTCAGTTAGGTGGTTGAATTTGAGGGATCATCCTTGAAGGATGAATCGGGCCTTGCTAGGCACACCTGGGGCAAAGTCAGGGAGGTGGGGCAGACTCAGTCTGGGTGAATGAAGCTTCTTCTGTTGGATTTTCTGCACGTGTTGCCAGGAATGTGGGAAGAACTTGACAAATAGTTGGTGAATGAATGAATGACTAGCTATGGCAGGAAGTGTTTCCTGTAGGAACAGGTGAGATGTGATGTCAGGTAAAAACACAGCAGGGTCTCAGAAGCCACTGGAACCATGTTAAGTACGAAGAAAAATTGGAGCTGACAAGGCCTGTCATGGCTGTTTCCATCTTTCCATGGTCACTGCTGTCTTTGGAGAGAGTGGCTTCCATGGGGTGATCGGGATGAAACCCAGTCCCCAGACCCGGAGGAGGGAGGAAGGAGGAAGAAAAATGTAGCCGACTGCCTCAGGGAGTAAGAGGTTGTTGGAGGGAGGTGGGAACTGGCTTGGGAGAAAGCAGGGTGAAGGGAAAGTGCTCTTTAAAAAAAAACAAAAAAAAAAAAAAAACACAGAATAAAACAGACATGTTGACACAATGAGACAGGAACTCCCCGACAGAAGGACAGATAGCATAAATATCCCGAACATATACATCAGTTCAAGTATTTCGCTTGCACGCAGCCAGTTCTTGATTAGCTCCATGTGGGTCCATCACGTTGGCTGAGCTGTCCCGTGTTTAATCCCAGGCTTCTCCAACTGGGCTGTTTCCTCTATTGCCCAACTAATATGTGTTGAGGGGATAAAAACTGACTTTACTGTCATCCTTAGAAAAACATAACGAAGATTATAAATTTTCTATCCCCTCTCCACCCTCTTAAAAAATAAAAGAACACTGCATAATTCACCCCAAAGCCAAATGGACTTTTAGGATTGCTTAATAATCTCTTATCTGTATCTTCCCTTAAAACAAACATTCAAACTGCATGTAGTGAAACGTTCTCAAACTCAGTCTTCTCTCGAGGTAAGAAGTCTGAATTGCAGGACATTTACAGATATCTAGGACAACATAATTTACCAGCAAGGCTGGAGGCTGGCCATGCCTTAGATTTCAGGACTCAGTCTTATAACTACGCTGATAGATAAGGAGAACCTGAACTCCCGTGGCGGCAAGCTGGGTGCAAGGGATTTTCATTCCTGTTGCAACATTAAATCTTCCAGTCTACTCACCCCTGACTATTATTGGACCCAGTTTTGCAGAGGAAGTCCCTGCAACTTAAGGTTTTACTACTTGCTCAAGACCACCCCTGAGATGAGGGAGAGGCCACTGGTGACTTTGACCATCCGAGCTGATAGCCCTAAGAGTCTGCTCAGAGGGGAGCAGCTGGCATTTGCTAATGAAGCTGCTGAAGTGTGTGGGTCCCTGCAGGCTGATCATGGGCATTCTTTCCCCTTGACAATACAAAGTGGCAGGATGAGATCCCCAGGCTGTACCAGCATGCCCTCTGCAGGCTCAGCGTGTGGGCGTGGCACTCGACCCCTGCAAGAGGATGACACGCTCTCTCTCACAGGTGGACGGTTCCTGGGCCAAATGGGAGTCCTATGGCCCCTGCTCCCGCACCTGTGGCGGGGGCGTGCAGCTGGCCCGGAGGCAGTGCAGCAACCCTGCGCCTGCCAATGGGGGCAAGTACTGCGAGGGAGTGAGGGTGAAATACCGATCTTGCAACCTGGAGCCCTGCCCCAGCTCAGGTGAGGAGGGGAGAGCAGCGGTGGCCTCAGCTTGAGGAGGCGAGGCTGGCGGCCATGGCCTTTGCTCTGGGTAATTGGTGGCCACCAATTCACTATACTGTGCAAATTTCTTTCAGGGTTCTCTCTCCTCACTTACCTTTGATGAGGGGTGGGAGTGTGGTGGTGTTTTCTTCCAGTTACTTAGACTGGGTGGCTAAATGGCCCAAGAGAATGAGAAACTAGAAGTTCCCTTAGTTGAACATTGAATTCTTTATCCAACATCCATGGACTTGGGTGGGAAGAAAATTTCATCTCCTTTTTTACTAACCTTTTAATCTAAAATTTGGTATTTTCTTCAATTAGAAATTTAATATGTTATCTTTTACTAATTTGTCTATCTAAAATTTTGCATTTATTTAACCTGGAAAACAAACTACAGTACTTCCAGCAGGTGACTTTGTCACCAATAGAAATACTGGGTGTTTTCCCTTGCATCACAGATGCTGCAGATTTCACAGCATTGGAGCTTATCACTCCTGCAAAATTGCAGTGGTTTTTAGACACATATTGAATGTTGCCATTCAATGCCTGAACAAGGAAGCACATCTATCACAAATGCTTTAATATATCAATGTAATTTGTACTCTTTGTAATCCATGGGGTTTATTTCATGCATTTAATAGCATTTTGTAAATACTTTTCATAGGCTGCTGAAGGATTCTGTAGCACAAATTGGTTAGGATACCTTTACAGAGGAAATTTAAGGTCAAATTCTGGGGAAGGCACATTGCCTGGGGGATCATTACCATCTCTACCCTGCATCCTTTGGTCCCACCCTGCTTAGTCCTTTGAGATGGGGTGACTTGGGTGATGAGTCACTTGGCTGAGAGTGGAGAGGAGCTGATCAGAGTCACTGGAGATGAAGCACCCCCCATCCCCAAGCATCTCTCTTGGCCACACCTCAAGCTTTAGCTTCCTGCATGTCCTTTTTCTCTCCCCAGCCTCTGGCAAGAGCTTCCGGGAGGAGCAGTGTGAAGCTTTCAATGGCTACAACCACAGCACCAACAGGCTGAACCTTGCTGTGGCCTGGGTGCCCAAGTACTCAGGCGTGTCTCCCCGGGACAAGTGCAAGCTTATCTGCCGAGCCAATGGCACTGGCTATTTCTATGTGTTGGCACCCAAGGTGAGTGAGCCTGGGGCAGGAGACCGGAGCAGGGGCCTGGTCTTCCAAGAGAGCAGTGGCTGAACTGTCCCTCTGCTTTTCTTACCCTCCTGGGGTTGCTGCAGGTGGTGGATGGCACCCTCTGCACGCCCGACTCCACCTCAGTCTGCGTCCAAGGCAAGTGCATCAAGGCTGGCTGTGACGGAAACCTGGGCTCCAAGAAGAAGTTCGACAAATGCGGGGTGTGTGGGGGAGACAATAAGAGCTGTAAGAAGGTGACAGGACTCTTCACTAAGCCTATGTGAGTACCGTACCCTGGAGGGCGCTGCAGGGAGCAGGGGTAGGAGTGAGTGGGATTGCCCCAAGTGTTGGAATCTTGGGTTAGTTTGGGATAAATCTCAGGTCCTGGCCGCTCAGTTCTTCTAAGGCTGATTATTCATTCACTCATCAAACAAAGGTGAATGCTTGAGGGGGTTACCAAGTAACAGGAGGTGATATTCAGGGATATGGCAGATAGCTGTTAGGGTCCGTGTGGAGTTTGATTAACTTCACCACTCAAATCTTAGTTCCTTATTTTCTGGATAACCTTGGGCAAGTGATGCAGTCCCTAGAATTCTAGATTTCTAGACTGCAATCTAGATGCAGTCCCTAGAATTCTAGTGGGTAGGACACTAATATGGTTTGTGCTGTGTAGTAATGAGGATTAAAGGAATTTATCCAAGTTAAATGCATTGGTAATTACCTAGTACATCACAAATGCTCACTAAGTTCATGATGGTGATGACATAACATACCTGGAGATGATCACTCAAAGATAAATGTGCTGAAGAGAAAAGATCCTGAGGCGATACAGCCAGTGTATTTAGTTATAGGTGATCTGGTGATAATCTTGCTTCCCACATTCCAGGTCGGGGGTTCCAGGGCCTCTGGTTAGTCTTGGCATTCTGCAAGCTTCGTGACCTGCCCCAGGGTTTGTGAAAGGGGAATCGGTTATGACTTTGGAAGTTCTTAAGTCTAACATTTGTCTAACACATCATCCCCCTTTGTGACCCCAGGCATGGCTACAATTTCGTGGTGACCATCCCCGTGGGCGCCTCGAACATTGACATCCGCCAACGTGGCTACAAGGGACTGATCGGCGATGACAACTACCTGGCCCTGAAGAACAGCCAGGGCAAGTACCTGCTCAACGGGCACTTCGTGGTGTCGGCTGTGGAGCGGGACCTGGTGGTGAAGGGAAGCCTCCTGCGCTACAGTGGCACGGGGACCGCGGTGGAGAGCCTGCAGGCCTCCCGGCCCATCCTGGAGCCTCTGACGGTGGAGGTCCTCTCTGTGGGGAAGATGACGCCACCCCGAGTGCGCTACTCTTTTTATCTGCCCAAGGAGCCTCGAGAGGACAAATCTCCCCACCCTAAGGACTCTCGGGACCCTTCTCTGCTCCACAACAGTGTCCTCAACCTCTCTAATCAAGTGGAGCAGCCAGATGACAGGCCCTCTGCACGCTGGGTGGCAGGCAGCTGGGGCCCTTGCTCTGCCAGCTGTGGCAGTGGCCTGCAGAAGCGGGCAGTGGACTGTCGCGGCTCCCCAGGGCAGCATGTGGCTTCTGCCTGCGATGCAGCCCATCGACCAGTGGAGACTCGAGCTTGTGGGGAGCCCTGCCCCACCTGGGAGCTGGGTCCCTGGTCACCTTGCTCCAAGAGCTGTGGCCGGGGATTTAAGAGGCGTCCACTCAAGTGTCTGGGCCATGGAGGGCGGCTGCTGGTCCGGGACCAGTGCAACCTGCGCCGGAAGCCTCAGGAACTAGACTTCTGCATCTTGAGGCCATGCTGAATAGGATTGGCCCTTCTTCTCCTCGCTCTGCCCATTGGTGCTGCCAGCATTCTGGCCGGCTGGAACTGTGGGCAGAGGGCTGTGGCCGGTTGCCCATGCCATGGTGTCCCCACATCCAGGGACAAGGACCACGGCAGAGCCAGAGAGTCCCTCCTCCTCCCTGGCCTGGGCAGGGGAAGCTGAGTAACTAATGCACAGTCTACCTCATGCCCGGCTCCTCCAAAGCCCAGTCTCGGGGAGAGGCTGAGTGGTGCGGTGCTGGGCGGAAGGCGCTGGGGCCCAGGCAGAACTTCAGGGACCTTGGCCTCCATCAGTGAGGCCACAGGCTGCTGGAAGAGCCATGGCTTGGTGGTGTGGCATCCTCAGGTGGCCCCAGGGGCTCTGAGCCGTCTCTGAACAAGGCAGGTTTTTATGGTGCTTTCGGCCTACTTTCCTTCTCTGACTGACATGGACAGAACATTAAAGATGGGGTTGGGGTGGGTGGGCAGAAGAGGAGAGGAGAGTGGGATTAGGTGTAACTGGAGCCTGGGCTAATCCATTTGGGAAGAGGTGTGTGGGGAGAGAGGGTTCTGAGGTTTCCCATCTTCCTCCGAAGCTTGGTCCTCTTCTCCCCTCTGTCTGGGTGCACCAGGGCATCTCTAGTGGGAGGACAGGCACGTAGGTGTCCCTTGAAGCTCTGTGGGTAGAAACAGGAAGTGACTAGAGAGTCTGTTGTCTTCTTCAAGAGGATCTGGCCATTAAAACAAGATGCCCAAATTTACAAGGGGTGAGGGACTCTGTGACTGAAGCAGGGAGTTTGAGGGAGATCTAGGAGGTTTTACTGTCACTGGGGCTGGGTCAGAGCTTTGGGGGAATGTCACCTTGGACGGAATGGAGGAGGCTCCAGTTCCAATGGTTTCTTCCTCCAGAGAGGCAGGGATAAATAAGGCTGACACCTTCGGCTCTGTGTTGCCTTAGACAACCTTCAAAGTGGCCACAGGGATATACCCACAAGTGGGGCATGGGAAATGCTTAGGAGGCTATGTGTCTGATGCCCACACGCTTCAACTAGACAGCTACAAGCAATCTGGCCCTGGGCACATCATGTCACCTCCCAGGCTTCTGCAGTTGGATAACGGGGTTCATTGTTTGCTACCTCAGACTATGCTCTTTGGGAACCCACAGTTGTCCCTTTCTGGGGATAGTGGTGACCCTGGTGCTTCCAGCAGACCTAGCTGCTGTCCTCTGTGGATTGAGCTGCCCAGCATGAACATGAGAGTGTGGACCTATCACCCCTATATCCCACAACCCGCTGGGGCTCCAAATACAAAGACAAAGCCTTTCTCTTTAGGTGCTTGGGGACAGGTTCCGGGAGGCACTGAGATTCAATGACTGGCCCAGGGGTGCTTGCCAGTCTCCAGTAGTTGTCGCTGGGGAACCCCTATCTTGGAGACATGTTAGGGGCCTTTCCATTAGCTCCAAGTGGGAAGATGTTTTGGGGGTACAGATTCTTTTGCCACGCAGGGCATTTCTTGAGGATGCAACTGCCACAGCATGTACCTGTGAGATTTTTCTTTTGAGTGTAGGTAATTAAGTCCCCAACTTCAATGAGGTGACATCAGAGCAAGTGACTGTCCTGGGAAAAGGGTTCAGTCCTTTGTTCTCCCCTAATAGTTAGAATCCACAAACCAACCAGCCAAACAGGCAAGCCTCTGTGTTGCTGTTCTAATCCGAGTCTAACCCCAGTCTAACCCCAGGTGAGCCCTTGAGTGAAGCTTGGGGGAAGGGAGTGTGGAGGGCATGTGGGGCTCTGAGTAGGGGAGCTGTTGCCCTTGAAGAGCAGAATGAGAATGACTGCCCCCCATTGAGAACCCTGTGGGGTTGTAGAGCGCCAGGGCAGATGGGCCCCCCACTAGTTGACGACAGCGCTGTGCCCTGTGCTCGGTGTTCCCACCCGTGGTGGAGAGGGTGGCATGGGGACTGTGCAGAAGGGACAGGGGGACGGGGCGGGAGGGAAGGGAGCTGCCGCCTTCGGGGGTCACTGGCCCTTGAGTAGAGTGGCTTTACACATCTTTTCAAGGAGGGACAAGCAATCTTGTTCCTGACACAGCAGGGTCTCGATGCCCTTTTCTGTCATGGTGTTTTTCTTTTTTCCTCTTAAAAGAACTTTGACCGGGACAACTTGGCAGGGTTATCTTGTCTTGGGCCATTTCACTAATCCAACCACACCCTCCAAGACTGGAGAGTCAAATTTCACAGCACAGGTGTCTGGTGATGGAATGAGAAGTTAAGGTGGTATCTCGGGACTGTGGAAGAAGAGGGACATTGGGGGGCTCTAACAACTTCTTTCATGGGGTGTGTGGAGCAGTAGGGGTCCGGGCTCTGGAGCCCCCTGCCTCCTCTGCCTCCCATGTGCACTGATGGAGAGTCCACCCTTTTGGGCCTGGGCAAGCTGTGTGGGGGCCAGGAGGGAGCTGAGCACAGGTGGGGGGACTTGAGCACACCCAGCCTGAGAGCTGGTTCCCGAAGGCACTCGACACTGTCATGGAGAGACACTCCCTTGGCGTTTGGTTCTTTTGCATTCCATGCACTGCAGATGGATGGGAGGACCTGGACACTGGCTGGGCTGTGTATACTGTGTATACATGGGAGTTGGCTGCTGCGGGGACAACAGCCCGCTCCTAATAAAGTTGTAAGTATTTAAAATCTGTGTCTTGCCTCTGTGACTTCCTCTCATGTATGTTCCCCATGCCTCTTGAACACCCACCATACTGGGGCTACAGTACAAGTGACAAGGACAGGGGGCGATACCGTCTCTATCCTCTGTGGTTCCAGGCGAACTGAGGAGCAGAGCAAATAGTCCATAAGCAAAGAGACAGACTAGTGACACACCAGGTAAGTGCCTAAAAGAGATAAACTGATGCTGAGAAAGACAACTGGGCTTTGGGTGTGTGTGGGGCAGAGTGACAGAGGGAGCCTGGCAGAGGAGGGGACCGGCCCTATTGAAGGGGGACTGGAGTCCACCAGTGAAGGAGCAGCAGGCTGGGGCTCCCGGGACATCAGAAGTGGGTGGGTGCCGTAAGGGTGGAGAGAAGGCCTCTGGGACTGGGCCATGGAGAGCGGGGCACAATTTGAGGTCTGAGGGTTCATCATACAGGGGTTTTCATGCACCTCTCCTTAAGAGGAGACCTCAAGTTTCCTGAGGCAAATTTCATTCTGTTTGGAGAAAATGTCTTGTTTCCTAGTTCTGTTTTGTTCTGACAGCCTCACAAGTGCACAGGCAGAGGAGGGGCATGGTGCATTTTAAAGAGCATCCAAAGAGGAGTCCAGAAACTTGCAAACTTGCGTTGGTCTCAAATCTGAGATCCTCCCTTGGAATCTCATTTCCTGTCTGCAGAGGAAGAGGGAGAGTCTGTTCCTTTAGAGGACTTCCGGTTGCAGCTGTCTGGGTTTTTAGGCACTGACATGATTTAAACTTTGGTCGATAATCATTTGGTTTCAGTTTGTGGTTCAGGGGAGAGTGGGCTTCTCGTACCTTTTCCGCAGGCCTAGGCTTGGGGTGAATGACTTCATGAGCTGGTTATGGATAGTGAGGCCCACACATGGATTGTGTGGTCAGGATGAAGTGGGGCTTGGGTGGACCTTTAGCACTTGATAGAAGTTTCTGGTGGAAGGAGGAGTCAGCTAGCAGAGCCCTCCTGATATCAGAAGGTAGAAGCCTGGGAATGACCTGGAGGGGTTCTGCTTGCTGTCTAAGCTAGCAACTGTTAAGATCTTCGCAAAATTATTCAAAATGTTGTTAAATTCCTGGACTTGTTATTTTTGTTTCCCCTCTGTTTTTCCATTGTAACAATTGCCAGTAAAACCTTTCTAAGGAAAAGTTCCCATGGGTTGGTGTGGGGGGGGGGTGAAGGAAAACTGTTTCTCTAATTACATTTCTGACACCAAAAGTGTGTGTTTTTCCCATGCCAGTTTTCCAACTCTGGAAACCAACCAGGTATACTATAACTTAATTCATATCTAACACTAACTAAGTGGACTCAGCATCAGACTCCACACACTGAAGGGCTCATTTCCATAAGGGCTCATTTCCTTCCTTCAGACACCAGTCCTAGGTAAGGGGTCCAGTGACCCACACTTCCTGCTGATTGAGCTGCAAAGTGGAGGATGCCCCCAACCCTCCCTCAAGTTCAATAATTTGCAGGGATGGCTCACAGAAGCCAGGGGAACATTTGTTTATGTTTACTGGTTTACGATAGACCAGTAAATGATGATATGATTTAGTGATGAAGGATATGGATGAAAAGCCAGAGAAAGAGGTATGTAGGGTGAGTTCTGCACGTCGCCTGAGTGCAGGAGCTGCTGCCCCCTGCAGGTAGGGTGGGGTTCGTCACCCTCCCTGCAGGGGTGTGTAGGGAAGCTATGCAATGGCAGCTTCATTACACAGGCATCGTTAATTATGAGTTCAGTTTCCAGAGTCCCTCCCTCCCCGAGGATGGGTGAATGGAACGGAAATTTCCAAGCTTCTGACTATGGCTTGTTTTTTCTGCTGGCCACCCCACATTCTGAAGCTCTCCAGGAGCCCATCCAGAGTCACCTCCTTAGAAACAGACACTTCTCCCAGCCAGGAAGCTGTAGGGGACTTAGGAGCCCCGTGGCAGTGTTATAGGGCAGCCCTGATACAAAACGGGGTGCCTGACTGTGGGTCCTCATCCGCACGCTTAAAAGGACTTATCAATGCTCTGCTGCAGGCACACGCGAAAGGTTCATAAAAGGTTTATTTACAAGGGAAGGGGAAATGAGGAAATGTACAACTCAGGGAGAAAAGTGGGAGACAAAGTTTTAAATGCATCCTACCCAATCCGCCAATCAGGAATCCCAAATGGCACTCTGAGAGCTGGTTGCAAGCCAGGAGCCGTGAAGCCAGGAGGCAAGCGATAGAGTGAGAGACCCCAAGGCCCACATGTTTGGTTTTTATACCCAACCTGGCTGCTTAACTCCACCCTCAGGTCCCAGCCACCTTCCCTTTGGTGGTGACGGTATTTGTCTTTCCCAATGTCCTGATGGCTTTGGTCTGGAGTGGGGGTGGTGTCCATAAAGCCTGTGTGGGATTAGCTTAGAACATCCTTTCCCCCTAACAGCAGGAGCATAAATAAATGTTCTTATTTTTCCTGATGTTGCAGGGGGTCATTGTATAAGGAGAGGAGGAGGCTGGGCTCCACCCTGTTGTTGGTTTGGAGGCTCAGGAACGCTCCCAGGAAGGCAATAGGGTAGCAACTCTCACTCAAGCAGCCTCCAGGAACACCGACCTGCCTGTCCTTTTAGCTTTCTGGAGAAGAAAGGACCAGTTTCCTAATCCTGCTGGCCTTTGAAGAGATTTAGAACAATTTGCTTTGTAATCCATCCTCAGGAGAGGAATGCATTCTTGCCATAGTAGAGAAAAAGCCTCAATAACTGCAAAAAGGTCTTGACCCTCTGGGCTGTACCCACCCCCACCAGTGAGCTCTGGCCATTCCCCAGAGGGCTGAGCTGGCATGGCCAAGGGCGGCATGTGTGACCCGCAGAGTCTTCCTGTGGCTTCTTGGCCAGTGCCCAGCCCTGATGGGTGAGTCAGCCCTGAAGCTCGCAGTCCTAGAAACAAATCCCAGAAGAGCAGAACATTGCTCTTCAGGCTCTCCTGCCCCCACCACAACACCCCCAATTCAGAGCAGCCACGAGAGAATTTCAGTGACATGTTCACTGCTCCCAACCACGAGACTCAGCAGAAAGAGGGAAGCAGGAGCAGGCCTTGTGCTACTCCAGCACCTGAGTGCTCACCCTTCTCTCCCTCCCAGCCCCCTCCCCTCACAGTCCTTGTGCTGGGCTGGGAAGCCCTGCCATTCTTTTGCTAGCCCTGCCATTCTTTTGCTCCCCCTGCTCAAAGTCTGAAGTCCATAATGTAAATCACATTCCAAGTACTGGCCAGAATGCTGTAGAGGGAGATAAGAGTTCCAGAGGCATTTCAAAGAAGAATCAGAACTATTTGTCTCCAAAGGAGAGTGATTCAGGTAGAAAGGTCAAGGTAGAGGGAGACAGAAGGGAATCGTCTCATAAAAAACTGGATTTGGCAAAATGGTAAAAACATTGTGGCGGTAAATGGCCGGAGGCTGGTAAGACTTTAGCTTCATCCCCAAGTTGTTACAAACAGTCCTCTCCCTGCCCTCAACCAGGCCACAGCCCCAGGCAGGACTACATAGGTGTGTAGACTGCTGCCATCTCAGACTTCTGACCAACTGCCTGGATGACCACACAGACCTGGGATTCTTATCTCAGTAGGGAGGAAACATCTCCTCCACCCCAGGTAACCTATCAGGTATTCTTGGTGTGATGTTGGTGCTGAGGATTTAGAGAAAAGAGCCTGGGGGAGGCCTAAGGAAATGTGCTCAGGGTGATTGATGACATGACCTTTGAGAGCCACAGATGGTGGTTATGCACAACCTCGCGCCCAGGGCCTCAGCACCATCCACCTTCAATGGCTTCTCTGGGAACACAAATAGAACAAGAGGAGAAGACACAGCCTGCCTTCTCTGGAACTGAGGACCCTTTTCTATGCAGGCACTTTCCTAACCCAGACATCTGATGGCATTTCTCTTCATAACCACCCTCTGAGTGTTGGTCCATTCAGCCTTATTGATGCTGAAACAGGGGAGTAGCTTAAACAAAATTCTCCTGGCAAGTGAGACAAGAGCCAGGAGTCAAGCTCAAGTTTGCTTCCTTTAAAATGAGGCTCTCCCCAGGCCTGTGTTTTAGGAGGCCACATCAGCTTCCTGGCATGGCAGGAGACAATGATCCTGTTCCTTTCTTTGTTCCTGAAAGATTCCTTGGAATGACTTATTAGTGTGTTCTTAAAGTAATATCTTGTGGTTTCCAAAAAATGTATTAACACAACCTGTACTTGTCCCCAATTCCTATAATCTCCCCCAACAGGAAACCTATTCACTGGATGGCTT